GTATTGAATTTTCTTTGAATATATTGAATCTGTTTTGAGAAAGGTGTTGTGCTTATTTTCTTAGATAAGTCATCAAGTGTTCCTTGTTTACTTGGTGATTTATCAAATCCTTTCTTCATTCATATTGCATTCATATACATGTTGGTGACTCATATGGTTGAGGGCACCAAAACCGTGGTGCGATTTTCCTCCGGCAAGATTGAAGCAATCGTGACTAGTATTGCGTTCAACATAAGGAGTGTTGAAGATCATCCCGTGATAGAAGTTGAGTTTCGAAGAAGTCGGTAAACATTATCTAGAATAGGTCTAGGATAAGTGTGTGAGTACTTCTTGTAATCATCGTTCTATAGTGGATTTGTATTGGACTGAGGAGTCCCGTGGATTATCCCCAGAGGTGGGGTTTTACCACGTAAAATAATTCTTTGCGTGTTTTTTTATTCTATGCCCAGCGCATTTCAGGATTAATAAGCCATATCAATCTTGGTACCGAAGTTTATTTTTATTTATTTGATTATAATCTTAAATTCATTCACCCTCCTTTAGGCATTTTTTAGTCATCCTACAAGTATTTTCAGCCTACTAGGGCAAACATGTTCTACATGTTTCATGCCACATGCCAAAGCCTACATCCCATGGTGGAGTGTTGTGGATCATGTAGAAAACCAAGAACATAGAACTTGGAGCCAATGATTGAAATATCGGTCGATACACCGATATATCGGCTGATATATCGATATTTTGAACTGTCGACACCGATATTGGGGGGTAAGGCCATATCTTCCCCGATATCGACGATATATCCCCGATAAGTGCGATATCCCCGATATTTTGCCGATATTCCCAATATTTTCCAATACCCATAACAAAACCCAAAAAAATTCAAAAGTTTTGAAGCAAATTGAAACTGAAAAGATTTTTTGGAGGTATATGTGCAGTGATTAGATATATGTGTGAAGGCTTTTGGCAATATTCAATTCAAAAGATGTTTTGGAGTATGCATGTTTTAGAGTATGCATCAAAAGAATATAGACCTAGTACTAACTCAAATGAATCTTATGATGGCTATGGTTATGTCATGTCTGATTATAGTGGAACTA